CATTTCCTGTGATCAAAGCTGCTAAAGACCATAGCAACCGCGGTCCCTTAAGTGATCTTTAGTTGGAGGGAGATCTGTATATTCATAAATGCATGAATGTATATACAGTTATACATAGAAATGTATGAACATTTATTTCAATAAAAATAACTCATCATAACTTTAATAACATACTTATTCAATGAGGGGACATAAAGTAAAATTGTTCATTTAAAGTAAAAATCTCAGTGAAAGACTGTTCATGCAACAACTGCCATTAAAATTAAGCTTTTGCGAAATACATCTCTCTATATAGAGCAGAGCTAATCGAAGTAATTTTTGTAGAAATAACTCAGTCAAAAGACATTAGGGTAAATCTTTATGACGTGAATTAGGTCTATTAATCAAAAGAGGAATTGGAGATCAACAATGCAGTATATAAAAAAAAAGAATCCAAACGATCAAATGCGTTTCTTCTTGAATTGTGTAAAGGAATTTAGTGTAAGTAAAATATCGTTGTAGTCTTTCTATTTGAAAGGATTAATACGTAGTTGGAATAGGCCTATATTATTTTATGTAACATTACTTGGGTTTTACAATTGCGCCTACAATGATAAGATATGTATCACTATACCCATATACTTTTTGACATCTAAAGGATATCAGTCATGGCAATAATAATGATATTGATAAAAATTGTGATAATGATGATGATGATAACGATGATGATGATGATGATGACGACGAAGATAATGGTGACGATAATAATGATGTAATAATGATGATGATAATAATAATAGTGCCTAATAATAATAATAATAATAATAATAGTGCCTAATAATAATAACAATAACAATAACATAACAATAACAATAACAATAATAATAATAATAATAATAATAATAATAATAATAATAATAATAATAATATTAATAATAATAATAATAATGTACATTTGTGTAGCGCAGGTATCCATCAAACAAGATGCTCATGGCGCTTGATATGTGGACTAGTAACTCGATCAAAGACTTTCTTCACCCCTAAGGGTCTCTTCGTGTCTGTGCTACCCGGTAACCCGGTACCAGCAACTCTCGTCGTCCACCATGCACAGGGCTGTCTGTACCAGTACACCGGGGTATCCCCTACTCGTCTCGAATGATGTACTGGGTTATTTCTAGTGCATACGAGCCACTGTGTATGCACCTGCGCCTACGGTTTAGACTTTTTCCACCACCACAGCTATAGAGGAGCATGCCGTTCGAACTGGTGCCGATATTATGGCTGTATGTTGAGGCGCCCCTTGCCTTTACCGCTTGGCCATTCGACTCGCCAATAATAATAATAATATGGCAATGATATGGTGATAATTATGATTGTGGTAATGGTAATTTTAATGGTATTTGTAAAATGCAACAATATCAATATCAATATTAATGAATGCATATACACGTTTATATTATATGCATATGCGGTATACTGTATTTTACTTCTGAGTTTCAATAACGTCATGTGGTAGCAAGTTGGTGTTTCGGACGTTCTAATTTTTTTCCCTCAAAGCACTAATTTACATAGGCCTATTTTATTATCACGAGCATTTTATTAGGAATCTATAGCCTGGTTTTTACGAGAGAACTATTATCCGGATCGGGAGCTAACCGTTAGCGCTCACCGCCAGCACACCTGCGTGAGAACGCCCGATCGGTTAGCTCTAACCGTTAGAAGTATCCGGATACTGCTAACGGTTAGCAAGATCGGGAGTTCTCACAGAGGTGCTAACGGTTAGAGCTAACCGTTAGCTCCCGATCCGGATACTAGGGCTCTCGTGAGAACCAGGCTTTTACGAAGTACATGATATATACGACTGATTACGCGCGTGAAAAATATTTTCACGTTTTCGTTTTAATTCTTAGCTAAAGTGTCTGACCCGAATACCTCCTACAGGTATTGCATAAATATTTTCATTTGTGAAAATCGTAATTTACTTCACAAGTTTCATTTGATTTCGACAAATCTATAAACAAAAAAATATTTGAAAAATTATAAATAATTATTACTAATTTAGGACCGATTGATACAGGGTAGGAAAGTCAAGGCGTTCGGTCACTTGCTAGAGAGGGGCTAGCTCCAATTATGTCGAAATCTATTCTTGGCTATAGCCCGAATTCCCAAATGGGCTAAGTACAAGTTTAAATGCAAATTATCCCCCACCCACTTGTAGATTAATGTAATTTTACAGTCAAGCAAGCAAGCAAAACTTGTGATCGATGATTCTTCTTGTTTTCATCTCTTCCCCAATATCAATTAATCTTTTACCCACGTTATAAACTTCTAAAATTACGGTTGATTGTCGGCTGACAGTTGGGGTATGGTGGTTCCCATCTGGGGAGATTCAAAAATTGTAAATGCGGAACCAAAAAGGATCAGTGGCGTAACAAAACGAAGGGGACTGAAGGCCCCGAGCCAGGCGCTAGAGGCCAGGAGCAGCGAAGGGACCCGGTGGGGTTGTGGGAGCGAAGCCCCCAGCCGCTCAGGTGTTTGTAGCGTTTTCTGATGTATTTCAATGTCTTTTTTGGCACAACTGAGTTTTTGATTTTGTATCGTGATTTGACAAAATAAGCGTAATATATTGTAATTAAGATAATACTTTGTTCGTCTGTAACTTAACACATCATTTCATTTTTATTATATTAATAATTATATAAAACAAGTTATTAAATATTGTTTAAACCGTTCAGTCTAAAGAACCAAAAATGTTTGTACTCTTTTTCTAATTGTTACTGTTGCATGTGTTATTGGTGTTTTTGAAAAGATTACACATAATTATGAAAGTAATTAAAAAAAATAATAATCTCGGCGTCATTTCATGTATTTTTAAAATCATAATAAAAAACCCATTAATTCATATTAGACTGTTGCTTCGACTATACATTTCCCCAGTACTGTACGCTATGTTCTGTGCTGTACGGAAGAATACTGTTAAAGGATTCTTTTTTCTTTTTTTTTTTTTTTTTTTTTTTGCTCGGACAAAGTTTGAGGCAAACGTCAATGAAATTTGATAATTTAAACGATCTACCCCTTATTTCATACTTTCCCCAAATGTTTAAATATTTAAAAATCTATACTGGGCCCCAAATGTTTAAATATTTAAAAATCTATACTAGTACTGGTACGGGCATTCTAATGCGCCTCTTCCTTGCGGCTATTAAGCGCAGTTATTTTCCCTGGTCATTGGGTCCACATGCTAAGTGTTGCTGCTGGTGACCCCACCAGGTACCCATTTATACTCCTGTGTGGAGAGAAGCAATACAGGTAAAATGCCTTCCCAAGGACACATGCGAAATGCACAGCGAGGGATTGCAACCAAACCGTTCCCGTTGCGCCAAACCGCTTCTATATCTCATTAAGCACTTTTTTATCTCATTAACCAAGTTTTTCGTCGAAGTTTAAGAATAGTAAGAGCGTGACAACGTTTCTAGTGTTTAGTGCACATTTTTCTCCTGAGCAGATACCACAGTCCGCTTTAATGTCGCAATCACAAATATTTTATGCAGTCCGCCCAATAGTGCGAATTATGATTTTTTGCTCATAGTCAGAAGAAGCATGTGCAGTAAAGAACTTCGTAGGTTATTATTGAACTGCCCATGCGTGTAATAAAAAAAAAAAATCGTATTTTGGGCAAATTCGCCTAGTGGAATTAGCGCCGGCACGAAAACAATAAGGAGACACTGTATCTATTTCGAATTACTGTAGCGTTTATTCACATTTGGAGTAACAAAATTAGTTTTTATTTTGTTTTACGACTAGG